CTGCTGAACGTGAACCAGTGAGATGCGCTGGAAATGGTCGTTTTGAACATGCAGGCCGCTGCATAGCAATGATTCCCGTAGCATCCAAGCATTTCACAAACCCAAAGAGAGTCTGTGGGTACACTAGAAATGGCGCCTGTACCTGAGGAGTCCCTGTCCCATTGCTTACCCACAAGGTGATCCATCGACAGCGTGACCTGGGCTGACTTGTGTAGCTGAGCAGTAGTCTGAAGAGCAGTCGGAGACATTTGACTGAAAAGCAATCAAGGTGCAACAAAAAGATCCTGATCCTTTTCTGAGTGAGTGGCTCTCAGCCATCATGGCTGCACAGCGAGACTGCTGCTGTTCCCTTGAAAAATAAGCAAAGCTTTCATTTCCTAATTATTCAATGGCCTGCATGAAGTAAACATTAATTATTTAATAAGCACACTTGTCTCTATTCTAATCAGAAGGATAGCTCTTCTAGCTGTAAAGATGCTTTCCTTCTGCATGGAGGTCTCCTGAGGTCAGAGCTAGAAGCTCTGGAGTCAAGAACAGGTTTGATCAGGGGTTCCCAGTGTTTCTCAGGGGCTCGGGCACCGCCTGAAGGAGCATCTCATGGGCATCCCCCGCCTACGAGATCATGCAACAGGCCTGTGTTCCCGAGCGTAGCATGTCGTGTGCTACCATAGTATTTAAATGTCTCACTGCACCCGAGGACATAACAGAGAACTATTTCTTTATTTTGCAGATGGGGAACTTGGCACAGAGGTTCAGCGATTTGTCGGAGTTCCCCCCCAGAGCACATGCGATGGGCCAGGCACCAGACCCAGCCCTCCTGAGCCCGCGGCCAGGGCTCTGCCCACCAGGCCAAATGAGAGAAGGGCTTTGTCCATCTGAGATGTGAGCTCCTTTAACACGGCGTCTGGCACCTTCTAGGCCGTCGCCACAATATTTGCATGCATGAACAGAAAAACAGTCCTGTTGGAGACTGGGGTTTTAACACTGGCAGAAGTATAGACAAGACTTCCCACAAGTACCGGTTCTTTACCTGCTTGTAACATGAAGTAGACATGTTTAAACATATTCCCTGTTTCAGAGGTTGCAGTGATGGAGGATGTACTTACCCAGAGCAGGGAGTGAAGTCTCTTGTGGTCCTGTGAGCTGTTTTTAGAAAGGGTGTTCTTGATAGCTACTCCGGACGCTGCTACCCAAGGCATGGGAGGGGGCAACTTTGACGTGGCAGTGCTGGTGTAGCTGTTTCTGTTGGTCTTTTAATCTTGTGTCCTTAATTTACCCATCTCCATAAAGGCTCATTGGAGGTAGATCCCTTGCTCGGTGCAGTCCTTTCCTATCTGTTACTGGCTTGCTGAGATGCAGTTATGAGCCGAACTGTGAATGGAGCGGGCAGCCAGTCTGCTACCTAACGCCTGGCCTTGACAGGAGGCGGCATCGTGGGCAGGCAAGAGCCTGCACTTCCTGCGGGTAATTCAGCATAAGTGGCACAGTACTCTGGTCTCTGATCCGCCTTCCCTGTTGTCTAACCTTCTGATGGCTTGTTGGAAAGCAAGACAGAGTAGCCTCAATCGTCTTTCTCTCAAGCACCTTTTTCAACAAGTTCTTAAGCTCCGATAGCAGTATCGAGATCTCCCTGCCTTAAGGTGAAGTCGACTTCGTCTGTGTTTCATTATTTGGTTTCTTCTACTCAGGTGCAAATTAATCCAAGCCAACTCCAAGAAGCTTATTTCGGTACGCGCTGTAATTACTGCTGCAGCTGCAAAAAGCTTTCTTCAAAAGTTGAATCAAAGTTATTTTCTACAAATGTTACATCCTGTGATGTCTGGATTTTCCAGGTAGCAAACAGCCTTACATTTAAATTAGTTCCTTTGATAATATGTATTATGACATATCTACCAAGACTTTTAACTCTTATTTTATCGGTAGAAAAAGAGGAAGAACAGGAGAACTGCTTTCTAACACGTCTGTAAAGAATACCTAGCATGCTAATGGCCGTGTTTACATAATAATACTAGTAATAAGAATACAAAGACAAGTGATTTATGAATCGTGTAGCTTTGCAGGGAGCGATATTACCCGGTACGAATTATGATGTTAACAGAAATAGATATCTAATGCTGCCAGCATTCAGCAGCTAGGCAAAGTTTGTTTACTCAAAAGATGCCTTCAAACTTGTCAGCAAAACTGAAAAGACCATTAAGTTAATAGAGCCATGTAAAGACATAATGACAGCTATGCAGCAGACTGACAGTGTTAGCCTGCAACAGCTCATCCTGTTGCCAGGAGTTGATCCTGCTGGGAAAAGGTTATGTGCATGGCACTGACTCACTGATTTTTTTACCTCTCCCCGGCATAGAGGAGGTGAGCGTGAAGGAGCTGGAGAGAGGGAGTCGAAGGTGTGGACTGAGTAAGCAGGAGGCAGACCTTAGAAGTAGCCAGTGCTGCTGGGAGAGATCACACTAAAGGTAATGGTAATTTCTTTATTAATATAGCCAAACCCCAGACAGTGACCAAACCTAGGGTTTGCATCTTGGTTTTAGAACAGCTGGGGAAAGCTGCCTTACTATTCTTGTTACTACTTATGATACAGTCATGCTGAGAGGCCTGAGATGGACGGAGCCCAGGTTCTGGTGGGCTCGCTACTACACAAGTGCCTGCCCCAAAGCTCTTGCCCTCTAACCTGCAGTCCCTCCTGATCTCCTGGGATTCACCGTTCTCTCCTTCTGGCTGCCTGCCACCCCCTCCCCACTCAGCCCGTAAAGCTCCTCATTGCAGAGCACTGATTTATCGGGGTGGGCGGATGGTCTCCCAGAGGGTTTCCCCTAAAGAAGTCTGTGATTCCACACACAGGCTGCATTTGGCAGTCGTCTCTCTGATCTCACTCTGCTCCTCTGAACGCCGATGTGTTGTGCTTCCCCAGCCGTTCTAGTGCCCGGGACCTGGGTCCGGTAGGAAGTGGCAGAGTGCGTGCGGCTGCTTCTCCAGAGAGGGGAAAGCGCTGGACCACATTCATCAGGAGGAAACCAGGTGTGCCATGGGGCCAGGTGATCTATCCCCTGTCGGTGTGCGAGACCACGAAGCTTAAGTCTGCTGAAGGTTGCTCGGATCCCACTAATGATGTAAAGCCACCGAGAGAGACCAACTGTTTAAAAATGCAAATGAGCTCGGTGAATGCTGTAGGAAAACAGGCTGAAACCAGAGAGAGGTTCAGTAAACTGTACTCGGGGACTGAAAGGAAAGTTACAAACGAATGGCTGAATTCATCGGACGCCGCTCTCTCCGCGCCAACCTCCCCGTTGCGTTGAACTCCACCGAGCAGCCTATTCACAGCCTTGCCAAAGTGCCAACTGGTTTCAGTCTTTTTGGGACTTGAGGTTGTTGTCTTGAGGAATTCCCTTTGTTGCAGTTCTGCTCTTAGAGAGAGGCAATACTTGCAGTAGCAACACAGCTTAAAAGGAGGCTTCTAAGAGACTTGAGTCCAAACCAAACCCAGGCATATCACTACTGGTAACAACAAAACCAGTCTCTGCTATTGCTTGTATGAATTGTCTCCCCGCTGGCATTCACCCTGCTGCTAGAGCAGTGACAGCTCCTCACCCTCTGCCCTTGCCAGCCTACAGACCTCCCAGAGTTGACGGATGTGCAGCTTCTGCCCAAGCACGCTCCAAAGCCGTCGTCCTGTTGCATTCTCACCGGATACGTGGCAGGGATTTAAACTTGACCTGTTTGAACAAACACAAAGCCCCCAGCTTGGAATCAGGTGTGGGCTTCACAGGTGCTCTTTGAGCTCGCAGTAGCTGGAACAAGGCAAGAGGTTGGGGAAGAGAAGCTCTTACGCCTCCAACACCATCCTCTCGGCCTCCGGAGCATTTGGATCAGAATGCAAACATTGCAGCTTGGGCCCGTCCCACACCTGAGCAGGGACAGCTCGCCCAGCCTGGGCTGCGCACTAGCCAGCTTCTGCTTGCTAATGCTGATGCAGCTTATTCCCAGCTGATGGATGTGGTACAAGAATACATCCAAGCAAGGGCCTGACACATGAGGCGAGATTAAGAGCTGCATGTGTACTGATGGGAAAGGGGGTATGAAGAGGTGATGTGATGAAAGCCTTGCAGCCATCAAGAAGGCTTCAGTCTGGAGGAGGAGAAACACCTGTTTGGTGCCGTGCGGGCAGGGGGGAATAACCAGTTGAACTGCTTAAGAGGTAGGTAAACAATTCAGTCTGGAAAGGTTGTGTGTGGAGCGAGGACATGGAGAGAGAGCAGCTCTGGAAGCCCCTGTGCTCTGGCTGTAAATATTCAAAAGCTGGCTAGATCAGGCCTTCACGAATATCAAGTTGTTACGATCCCCTGCATACAGCATGGGGCTGGACCCGGGAGGAGCCTGATGGCTGGTTAGGTCGTTTTTGCCTGTAATATTTATTCAAAAATCACAGATTCCCATTTTGCTTTGTCTGCCCTGGCACAGTCTAGTTGTGATTTCTCTGCAAAGCACTGAGGACTACATTCACAGAGGTACCTGAGCCAAACTTAGGCACCTAAGCATCATTGGAGACGGGAAGCCAAAACTCTAGATACTGAAACTCCCTACTCAGCTCCACCTGAGCCTGGAGGCATGCAGAGTTTGCAGCGCTGGGGCCTACTGCTGGGATATAAGAGATATGAGATGGGTGCTCTTCTGCTGCTCAGGCCTGTGGAGCCTGGTGTGGGATTCTCAGGATGCACCTAACTCATTGGGCCCTGCATAAAGCCCAGCCACAGGAGAAGGAGCCCCATTTCCTGGGACTGCAGAGAGTGGGGCTCAGGCCAGGTGCTGTGAGGCTGTAGCCTCAGAGGCTGGGCTGGCATCTATCATATGCAGATCTAAAGGTCAGCAACTGGGAGTGACCCTTTCCCTGGGTCTTTTGGGAGCTCTATCCTGTGGCCTCCCTTTGCACCCTTTGGCTCATGGGGCTGGCTGAGCCCTTTTCCCTGCTTGGCATCTATCAGCCGCCTGCATGTGAGCTCGCTGCATTTCAGACATGTAAGAGTGAGTGGCTCAGGTATTTGCTTAGGTTTCTCTTTGATTCGTGTAGACAAGTTGTTTCACTTCATCTCCTTAATTGTGTTGCACAGAGTCTCAGCCAGGACTTACTGCCTCTCCAGCAGGCATATGGTAAATGATCTTTGCAATGATATTAAAAAAAATCTCTTCCTCTTCAGGGGGACCTTCCCAGGACCCGGCAAAATGGATCACAAGTCTTCACAAATCGACTGAGCGAGTGCTCCAGACGCATTTGCAGCTGGAAGAGCCGATGGGAACGATTATTGCCTCAACGTCAGCGAAAGTTCAGGGGTTCTTTATTTTTCTTTCCTTCTCCCTGAAATTTGTCAGGTACTGAGGATCACTAGCCAGGCTCCGTCTGAAGGAAATACGACATAGCCCCAGGATAGATGCATCAGCGGT